CGTACACACACTCACACACATACACACACACACACACACACACACTCTCTCTCTCTCTCTCTCTCTCACACACACAAACACACACACACACACACACACACACACACACACACACGCAATCAATTACAAGCCACATACACAGCGTTCGATTTCGTCTCTTCCAGTTATTCTCACGTTCTAAAACGCTGCCAGTCAACGAATCAGCACTATACAGAAGGCTGAAAAAACCTGTGCTAGCTATTCAATTACAATCTCGTTCGACATAGCGTAATGTTGATAAATAAGTTATGCTCACATTTCGTCTTTCCTTTGTCAATAGCCTTGATACCCCCCAAAAATAATGTGGGCGACGCGACGGAATCAGACGCTTCTTGATTTTGGGCTTAATGTGAAGTTATTGATATTATCTAAAATCTTGCTTTTTTATTTTTTAAAAATACTGTCTCTTTTGAAAAAAGGTAGAGATATTTGCAATTGAAAAAGGTGGAGCTCCGCTTGTGAGTGAGGAGCAATTTGCGAGAATATGACTGCCAAAACTTGGTGCCTTCCAAAGCATTAAAGTTCTTTGAACCTGCGAATTTACATCTTGTGTGCCTTTGAGTAAAGATTGTGAAAAATGAAACTCACTATTGCCCCCCCCCCCCCCCCAAGAAAAGAGATAAAATTGCTCAGCCAACAAAATTAATGTGGACTTCTTATTCATTGATTTGACTATCACCTGATTTTACTACGATGCAACTCAAAATATGATGCTTCATTGTGTAGTCTAAAAGCCTGTTCTGTACAATTATTCTAAAAATATTATTAGGATTGTTTTAATATCATTAGTAGACTGCCCTGGCAACTCACTGGGTTTTTGATACAGACTTCAACATAACTTAAGGACCACTTGGAAACCCTTGGAGTGGTCTTATTGGGTCGATCTGCATGTGGGCATTCTTGGACTGATCCAGTGGCTTGATGGCGCTGCCTTAGGCAGACAATGACAAAGTGTGACACTGTAGTGTAAGCCCTCTGGCAACTTCTCGGGCTCCAACTCTATCCTGCAGCCATGCCATAGACCTGGCACGATCAAAGTCTCTCCGCTTTCGAGTCTGTGGCATATTGATGAGATACTTGATTTTGCGTAAACGGCGGCTTAAATTGCCACCAAAGTCAGCAAAGTCGAGGCTGTGCGTCTGTTTGTAACTTGCACCAGAAATTTAAACTGAGGAATATCCGTGGTGTTGCACACAAGTCGTTAAAAAACAGCAAATATGGATAAAATTTGCCGAGGATTGACGTGCTGCACGTGATGGTTTTGCCCCTTTAGGAAGCTTTGCAATACGCATTGGTAACGCATTAACACTTTCAGAGCAAAACATTTTGAAATAGTCTTTGCTGTCTTTTTATCGGATATTTAAAAATTCAGGGCTGTCCGTCAAGGTGTCCTTAACTTTTCTTAAAGTCTGTAGTTAGACGACTAGCAAATACAGTTACAGATCTTGAGTTTTCGGTAGCGTTTGATCAGTGTATGTGATAGACACCGGAAAGATTAAGGTTCAAATTTCGACATTTTCTCTATTGTACTGTTTTCTATGATGATGATGATGTTGCTTGTAATTGGAGTTGTGGCGTTGATGATGATGATGATGATGATGATGATGATGATGATGATGATGATGATGATG